GCTGAAGATAAGGATAGTGCTGACAAATCAACTTCCAATTCATTACGCGCCCGCCGCCGAGCAGCGTGAAATTGATAAACAGATTTCGGATTTCAAAACATACTTTAGCTTTAGATCCTATACATATTAACAAATATATATCGGAAATTCTATTTGATATAATCGAAAGTTTAAGCTTACTTTTATAAAATTGCTCTTACAGTCTGCAAAAAATAATAAGCCGGATGCAATTCGAAAATTAAGGAACAATGCAATCATCAACATTAACTGAAATAGATAATTAGATAATTTTAGCTTATACGTCCATTATACATAAAATGCGCACGCGAAAACGTATTCTGCACTTGCGCACACTCAGATGCGCAGTCGTAAAAGGTCTTACGCGCACGCGTGAACGCCTCTGCGCATGTGTCAACGCGGCGCATGCGCAGAAAGTTTTTAGTTTTAATGTCCGGATTATAGATCATTCCGAATTATGGGTGTCCGAATTAACGACTTTTGACTGTATTAGCAATTATGAATGGAAACTGAAAATCATGACATAATCCCAAACCGAGATTTAGCCTTTTTATGTCATAGGTGGAGATATCTGTGCCATTAACTGCATACAGTTTGTATTGAGTTTTACATTTTATTCTGTAAAGTAGCAAGAATTATGCTTACGTCAGCTCAGCTATCAACAAGAAAGTGCAAATTTGATCTTCAGTTATGAATGAATAAACGAAATTTGTGACAGCCCTTCATATTTTCTGCAGAAGAGTTTGCCGCTGAACCTACTGTAGATTTGAGTTTTCCTGGTTTTTGAAACTTGTTTACCTAAGCACATGGAGGCCAGCATTTCTGTGGAATGCATTTTGCTCCAAATCGGAAATGATAGAAACAAAATTTGCCAATTGGGTCATATTGTTTACAAGATTGGCTTCGAGATTGTGAATGGGAATTATGTGATTCCATAGTCCCGTGTCTTAAGCGAATGGTTATTTGATCGATTTTTTTTATTCAAGAGATGTAAATTTTTGCAACAAATCAATTACAGGAATGGAAGTGGCATTAACACTAAATACTTCTTGCTTCCTATTCATATCACTAATTTTATCTGACATAGATGCTAACTTGGTTACATCTTCATCACTAACTAATAATATATTTTTTATTGAGTCAAGTAGCTTCTCAAGCCATACTTCATCACTAACTAATAATATATTTTTTATTGAGTCAAGTAGCTTCTCAAGCCGTAATGTTTTGATTAAATTTTCAGACACATCTGTAGTAGCAACTAATTTCAATTTCTGCAAAAGTTGGCCTGGTTTCTTGTCTGCAAGCTCTGTACCAATATTAAAATGCTTAATCCATACATTTTCACTTTCCTTAAATAAATGTAATAACCTAGATTTAGCATCAAAATATTTTGTGGCACTTTTGTTCGCTGCAAAATTTGCCCAAATATTTTCGATGAACCTAAGTTCAAGCTGTGAAACTAAATAATTAAATTTAGTTTCTTCTGAAATGATATTACTGATTTTAAACTGTGCTTCAACTTAAGAAAAACCTTATCTCTGCCTTTCATTTCAAAAAGGGGGTATTTTTACACTCACCTTATAAAGTTATGGCGACTGCATGGATTCAGCAGTTTCAGATGAGTCATTTGTTGTCATTTCAAAAATTAAACAGGGTCACCAAAATGTAGCCTTGGCTACCGATGTTTAAACTAAATTGTAATAGGAGCAGGAAAAATTTACAAACAAATAACTAAGTTTATTGCTTTATTTTTCAGCTATCAAAATGAGCTGCTACTAGAATAGCACATTTGAAAACAGAAGTAATCATGAATCATTACTCGTTGCCATAAAATACTTTAAATAAAAAATAATTATTACTCTTGCAATAACTGGGCCACTACACTATTTCCATTTAAGAATTAGTAACTGAACTTTCAGATATTTAGTTTTAAAGTTTATTCATTATTAAAAAGAATATTTTCTTTGCATATACAGGAATACCTCACACAGTGCTGATCCCACTATAGTATGGTTAGTAATGTGAGTAATAAATTTCACTCAGTACTGATTGATTCACTGTTGTGCAGTTTGGAAAGATTTTGCACCAAAGTAATATAGCCGAAATGTTCCCGCTAAAATATGTACTACCAAAATGAAAGGTTTTGATTGGTCTTAAATGCATGCACAATTCGCCGAGAGACGTGACTCACAGAGTAAACTTACCTTTAAATCTCTACAATAGTCATATTGCATGATCATTTATCATTCTCACTATCTGATTCACACTGCCTGATCTGCTCTTTTCTTTAAATTTTATCTGTAATTCATTCCATAACCCATTTATAATGAAACAAAAATATGATACTAGTTGCAATAAGACAAACAAATATAAATTACAGTCAAAAGTCGTTAATCCGGACTCGTCGGGACTTCGGCGATTCCGGATTATCGATTTTTCCGGATTATAGATCATCAGTTTAAATCTCGTAAGATGGCATGCAGAAATTCTAAAATTAAAAATATGAAACCGTAATTTATGAAATAAAGAACAATTATGATCTAAAGGGTATCAAAATTTGCAAAAAGAAAAAGCTTAATATTTATTTGTTTACTTTATTAAACATTTCTTTCAATGTAAGTTGTTTAAGTTTTGCTTCGTTTCATGTGATATACTTTTTCTTTAATTTCTATTAAACAGACATAATTTCTTGTTCAGTTACAAAGTTCCGCCGTTCAAGTCCTATAATTGCTGTGTCAAGAACACCGACTAATTTGTCAATCGAAATTTTTTTGTTTTCAATAACCTCTGTCACTTTTCTTCGCTATCGGAAGCGAATTATAATGACGAGGAACTTGCTTTAAATCATATCAAAGACGGAGCATATCGAGATGAAATACTACATTTGGTAAGGAATTATAAGCCAAATAAAAACATCTGCGCTGAAGATAAGGATAGTGCTGACAAATCAACTTCCAATTCATTACGCGCCCGCCGCCGAGCAGCGTGAAATTGATAAACAGATTTCGGATTTCAAAACATACTTTCGCTTTAGATCCTTTACATATTAACAAATATATATCGGAAATTCTATTTGATATAATCCGAAAGTTTAAGCTTACTTTTATAAAAAAAAAATTGCTCTTACAGTCTGCAAAAATAATAAGCCGGATGCAATTCGAAATTAAGGAACAATGCAATCATCAACATTAACTGAAATAGATAATTAGATAATTTTAGCTTATACGTCCATTATACATAAAATGCGCACGCGAAAACGTATTCTGCACTTGCGCACACTCAGATGCGCAGTCGTAAAAGGTCTTACGCGCACGCGTGAACGCCTCTGCGCATGTGTCAACGCGGCGCATGCGCAGAAAGTTTTTAGTTTTAATGTCCGGATTATAGATCATTCCGAATTATGGGTGTCCGAATTAACGACTTTTGACTGTATTGAATTTACAAGAAAAGCTAGAAATTATTGAAATTCTGGAGAACAGTGCATCATATGATTTTTTTTTTTTTTTTTTTTTTTTCTCAAAATTTCAAGCAATGAAAACATAAATGAGTCTTCATTTCAAGAAATTGTGAAAGATAAAGATACATATAAGGTATATGGAATAGCTACTAATTCTTTTGCTTCCCAAAATTTTTAAGACAGTGAAGTCCTTTGATGTTAATTTGAATTGAGGATTATAATCAAAAGCGAATTCCCTTAAGTCAACTAGAAATTTAAGCAAAAGTATTCAATCTTTTTTTTTTTTTTTTTCCCACTTAAAAAAATGTCTGAAAACAAAAGTGATGAAAATTTTCCATCAAACTATGAATGGTTCTTTTGCTTTAAAAACATTCAGATAATAATAATATCTGAATATATAATGTTCGCGCCGTAGGTGAAAACGCAAGTGCAGATAAAGAAGTAGTGTTAAAATTCCCAGAAGAAATAAAATAAATTATTGAAGAAAAATGTTACCTCAATGAACAAATTTTTTTAATGTGAATGAAACTGTGTTATACTGGAAGAAGCTGCCTTCTAGTGTGGTGATGGCGATAAGGAGCGCGCCTTGCTTGCGCCCTCCGATAAGTGTGGCAACCCTAGAGGAGAAGCTTCTTACGAGTAGCGAGCAGAGCGAAACAGGCAGGCTGTCGGGGAGTATGCGCGATGTTCCTAAATAAAGTTTAATTTTTATTGTGCACTATGTCTTGTTAATATTTATATTAATGCAGTAAGAACATAATCTGGTGATATGGAATTCGAGGATTGGTGGTAAAAACATAACAGGAAATCACCATACTAGAAAGTATTTGTCAGAAAAAGAGCAATCTCACTTAGGCTATAAAGCACCAAAGCATTGAATTACCTTACGGTTTGGACAAAATCTATTTAATGATGCCAAACTGAAGCCCATGCTTCTATATATTTAAAGGGATGTACTAAAAATCTCATTACCTGTGTTTTGGCATTCTAATAATAAGAAAGGTTGGTTACTAAAGTAGTGTTTAAAAGTTGGTTTAAAAATTATTTCTGCCCCTCTTCTAAAAGTTACTGTAGAAAACAAAACATAACCTTTAAAGCATTATTGTTATTAGGTAATGTACCAGGTCATCCTACAGACTTTCTTTTCTAATCTTTGTAGTAATGTCAGAATTCATTTTCTTTCCACAAATACTACCTCTGTGCCCATGGATCAAGGGGTTATCTCAGTATTTAAGGCTTTTTATTTGAGAAGGACACTTTCACAGGCATTCGAAGCAACCAAGTGAAAATGCCCCATCTTTGGTCACATTTTGAAAAAAAAAATAAGAATATATAAAATGTTATTGAAAATATCAGACAAGCACGGATTAAAGTGAGTAAAAATAATGAGAAGAGTGTTGAAATATGTTTTGCCTCATTGCACTAATGATTTTTGTGGCTTTGATTTTCAAATGGCACAATCTGAGCAGAAGACATTAAATTTGGGCATGGTTTAGGCTTTGACTCATTGGATGCTGCCAATGTTATGGACTGTATTCGAACGGAATTTCAGTCTCTTGATGACAAATCTCTCATCGACATAGAAGAAGAGCGACCTTATAAAGAAGAAAGTGAAACTGAAGAAACTGTGCAGATGGGGGATATTTCACATTGAATGATCTCGAAGAATTATTCAATGCCATTGAAAGAGCATGTGAAGTAATTGAAGAAAATGATCCAAATGAAAAAAGTAGCCTTGAAACAAGGCAAAAATTAAAATTAATGCAATTCTTTTTATTGCATGATGAATAAAGGGCGAAAAATTGGTACAAAAAACTTTGATTTTCTGGGCCCTTTTTTATTTCATTTTGTGAACACACAATAAAATATTACAAACAGTAGTGTATTATGTATTGTCCTTTTTACCCTTTTATTATTTTCCATTAATTTTAAGAAAGTGCATAAATAAATATTTCTGTTTTCACAAAATTTGTGAACAAATTATTTATTTTACTCTAGAAATAACATTTCACTCAGTGTGGCTTCATTTAGTGCAGTAGGTGCCCACCAGCGGCCGAGCGGTAAAATCATTGAACACGGGTAGTTCGGTTTGAGGTTCGAATCCCGCGAATGGGCTGGCTGCATGGGTGTTTTCGTGGTTTTCCCCATGTGTAACGTGTATACGAGTCAGCTTCCCTTAGAAAGTCCTCCACGAAGGCATCCCTCCTCTTAGGCAGATAGCCCTCGAGGCTTTGCAATAATTAAGTAACCTAACCCATTTAGTGCAGTACTTTAGAGTAACCAATTAACAGTACAGAGTGAGGTATTCCTGTATTTTTATCATTTAAAAAATATTTTGTTCATTGATAAAACTCTCCTGATTTCAAAGCCTCCTGACTTTTTAGTGTTGTAAGTTAGCACGTATGTGTGTATATAATGGTTTTAACGGGTCTAGCTAATGCAATTTCATGTATCCAGCTCGTAATTAGTAGTAATAGGGAATAAGAACTGCATTTATTTAAATAACTTAATTTGTTAATCAATGTCAGATTAAATTCAGTATCAAAATTAAATATTGTATGCTTTTTCGAATGAATTGTACATGTGTGCTAGACTAGTCATTTTAGGTAGCTAGCAAGTACGGATATATATCATCATAGTTTTTTCTGCAGTAGTGTTTTATTTGCATATTTTTTAATTTCAGTATGTTTATTAGATAAGTGAATTTTATTATCTTTTTCAGTTAGCAAGAAAAAGAATGAATCTCTCACTGTCTCGAAAACAAACCAAAATTATGTGAACTTAGAAGAAAGCAAATTACCTGAGCAATCAGCAAGCTGTGACAAAAAACCAACATCAATTCCAGAGGATGTCAGATTGAAACTTCAGAAGGTAATTCATAGTTTTGTGGATTTTATTTGAATAAATTCTGGCATTAGGATATTTAAATATGCTTTAAAATGAGTGCTGTGTTTATAAAAGTATAATTTGTAAGGTATGCATTTCATTTCTACTGCGAAGATAAATTAGAAATTAGCAGCACTATGCAAGATTTAAGCATATACACTATGCAAGCAAAATTCAAGTTGAAAATTTAAAAAAATCTTTTTATGCTGCATATTGATGTTGTATGTTAATATTTCATTATTTACTTGCTAGCCTTCAATTCCTTTTGACAAAACTCGAATTTTAAAGTATTCCAAAATTTAAATGCTATCTTAGGCATGATTAAAAAAAATATTCTACTCTTGTAAGGAAAGAGAAAATTAAAATTACGGACCCTGTCAAAAGTAATGCAACCCCCAGAAATTGTTCTGTAAATTGTGGATTATGCATTGAAAAGAAATGCATATGTCATCCAATAGAATTGATTTTATTTATATGCCAATACCATAATATTTATTATATGGCAGGGGTCCTAATAATAATATGCAATGTAATTTTTACACATGTTACAATAGCTGGCACAGGATGTGGCATACTGTTACACAGTAGGCATTTGAAATCCCGTGGTGCAGCTTACTATGCTACTTCATCCGTTGGCATAGAATGACAACATTTTTTGGTGGCTGTGAAAGAGGACAGCTCTCATGTAGTCCGATGATGCAAAACCTTAATGGGCATCTAGCCAAGTTTTAGTATTCTTCAGTGGTTCAGGTAATTATGAAATACAACTTTATCTCAGGTGCAGAAAATTAAACCTTATCACACTTCAGTGATGAGACTGAGATACATTTGATATATAGTTTTACTGAAATATTTACAAGTTAAATATTATTAATTGGTTTTACGTTTTAAAAATATGCCTCTCACAATCTCTCTTTGTGCCATTTTTCTCAGAAAAAAAGCAAACATAAAAAACATAATAACGAGAACTGAAATAACTCTTGCGCTCATGCGAAAACTCTCGGATGACACGCCACTCTCTTTTTTAAGCAATTTCCATATACTCCCCACCTATACTCATGTTAAGGAGCATAACAATATTAACATTAATTAACATATGCTTAATGCTAATTAATAGGACATGTATAAAGGAATAACATATAGTAACTTACATCAAAAACACAAATGATGCTCTATAATTAAATGGACATAATAATCAATAATATAAACAGTTAAAAGCTCAAAAAATGACATCAAACATCTAAAGTAAATTTCAGTTGGATATAAAAGCTGGACAGCTCTTATGAAGCTTACACAGCTTTGTTGTGCGAATGATGCACGCTTGTATATGTACATCTCATCCCACAATTACTTCTTCAGCTACTCCCATATCCCATAGTAGCTTAGATTGTTTTGGTCCTTTTACTAATACAACGTACCTTGTCTGAAGGTTATGCTCAGTTAAAGGATTAGCAAAGTTATGAGTGTTTCTAAGCTGTAGCAAATATTACTCTTTTCACTTGATCCATACTAGTTGTAAGAGCTTAGACTGGTAAAGCTTTTATCTAATTAGTTTCTTTGTCCGAAACCTTCTTAAAAATTGCTCAGGCAAGTTAATGGTGTTGCGTCCTAGAAGGAAAAATTGTGAGGGTGTGAGAGTGCGGGGTTCACCCAGCTCATTGCTCTTGTAAGTTAAGGGTCTACTGTTTAACGCACACTTGAGTTCAGTTAATATTGTAGAGAGCTCTTCAAGAGTCAGTAATGCTCTACCTAAGATTTTGTTCAGAGGATGCATCTTATTAAACGCTCACAAAATCTTCCCCACCATGGGGGGAACGTTCAGCGATGAATGTCCATGTAATTCCTTTGGATGTTAGGATGACGCTGATTCTTTTAAATACTCTGATTATTTCACATTTTCACATGTGCTGCGGAAATTCTTGGCATTATTAGAATAAATCACCCTCTTCTCACTATTAAACATCATAATGAAAAAAATTAAACCTTTGTTGACATATCTGAAATCCCTTCAGTGTGCACAGCACAAGTGACGGCACATGCAAATAAGGTTATGTATACCTTTTTGTGGATTTCCACTTTTTCTCTAATAATAGCAACTCCAGTTAACTGAATATTTACCACTGTGAACGGATTATTTTCTACTACACGATCTCTTGGTAAGTGACCTGTTAGTTGTTTGGCGGTCTTCACTGCGAACTTTTTATACATAAAGCAGGCATTAATAATTTTTGTTACCACTTCCTTTCCCTTAGGTATCTAGAAATTATTCCAGATTCTAGATAATGCTGATTCCACTCTTGGATGGAAAGACTTCACATGTTTGTTTATAACCACAAAGTTGGTAAACTTAGATTTTGGCAATATGGCTGGGTATTTTTCATTTTGCAATAAAACAGCTTGCTCTCAATGTCCTTTGAATGCAATAAACCTATATTGTCAAGATAAGGTACTATACAGTGAAACTTTTAAGTGGTATTTGTTTATTTTCCTTTAATAACTGTGTCTTGGTGAAATAACTGTCACTTTGTACTCTACTAATCCAATATTCTTCTGCTTCTTTAATCTCTGATGCTGATAAGGGGTCATTTTCAAAGTCTGTTTTATTCAGCCTTCTCAATCGTTTTACCCAAACCATAACTCTTAAGTAATTTCCTTAAACTGCTAAATTTACTGTCATCTATAACAATTTCTCTTGGGGGGACAATTGCATGAACAATTGTATTTAGTCACTCTAAAACTTGATCATCAGCTATTTTTGCTTTAAATTTTTGTTTCAGCCATTGATTGTTAGGACATTTCAACCAGGGAAAACCACACTACCAAATGCTATCGTTGATAAATGAGTGAACATTTTCTCCTCAAGTTAATGTATTTGCAGGATTTTCTAATCCCGGACAATAGTTCCACTTGTGAGGTGATGTACACTCCTGGATTTCCAACACTGTATTCGAAACAAGTTGTTTCCACTCATGAGCCAATCCTTTTGTACACTGCAAACAAATTTCTAAGTCCGTCCACAAAGCTAACTTACCTACCAAATCCTGAAACACTTTTGATAAATATTGCCCTAACCTAACTGCAACTAGGGTTTCTATCAATTGTAACCTAGGGAGGGACAGCTTTTTTAATGGTCACATTCTACTCTTTGACGTTACAAATGACATAGCAACTTCTCCTCTTTTACTCTCGCATCTAAAATATGCTACCGCTCCATAAGCAACAACTGATGAATCACAAAATATGTGAATCTCAAATGAATTATTATCACTTACATTTTCTAGAAAACAGTACCTCCGTATTTTCATCTCACTCAATCCCTTAATCTCCATGTACCACTTTCTCCATTTAGATTGCAAATCCTCTGTCAATTCTTAATCCGTATCTACGCCTCTCTCCCATATTTCCTGAATAAGCCTGTTACTTCAAACAACAAAATGTGAGAAAAACCCAACAACATCAAACACCTTAGCTGCTGTAATCACTACTGATCTCTTAGTGTTTTGCAAATTCTAAACTGGTCAACAATGACTAATATCTATTCTCAACTTATCTTCCAAATTTCAGACTAACCATAATACCTTATTACTTCTCTCACCCTTTTCAACACACAACCTGACCTGATTCTACAAATCTTACAACTCTTTAGAGTTAGCATTTAATTTCCTTAAATTAAAACTTGCATCACTTAAAACAGACACCACTTTGGAAGAAAGATTGAAAGCTGACTCAACACTATCCACTTTTATGCAGTGCATTGTTGCAAACCATTATACAGTACAAAGTCCGTAATCCGGACTCATCGGGACTTCGGCGATTCTGGATTAGAGGTTTTTCCGGATTATAGATCATCAATTTAGTTCTGGTAAGATAGCATGCAGAAATTATACAATTAAAAATGTGAAACCGTAATTTATGAAATAAAGAGCAATTATGATCTAAAGGATATCAAAATTTACAAAAAAAAAGCTTAATATTTATTTGTTTACTTTAGTAACCATTTCTATCAATGTAAGGTTTTTAAGTTGCTTCTTTTTTTTGTGCTAATACTTTCTCTTTAATTTTATAAACAGACATAATTTCTTGTTCAATTACAAAGTTCCACAGTTCAAGTTCTGTAATTGCTGTGTCGAGAATACTGACTAACTTGTCAGTAGAAATTTTTTCGTTTTCAATAACGTTCTCTGTTACCTTCTTCATTATTGGAAGCGCGCATGGGTAAACACTTTACACGCATGCGTAGAGGACGCGCACATCAAACGCCCATACGTAAGTTTGTTGCTTTGAGGTCCAGATTATAGATCATTCTGGATAATGGACATCCGGATTAGAGACTTTGTACTGTACTTATCATCAGTGTTCTCAAAAATGGTTCATTTTCATTGCATTTGAAAGAAGCATGCCAGAGATTAGAACTTGATCAAACAGATTTCTTTCAGGCAGGTATCATAGCAAGGACACCTAAGCATCATAACAAGTGGCATCCTCAAGCCAGCTATGCTCGTAGATGGTGAAATTTAATTGGTTAAATAATTTGCTGAATTTTATGTCACTTAATGAATTTCTGTTTTCTGTTGTTCATGGAACTAGTCCTCTCTTTTCTTTGAGATTAAATGTATCAGTAATGTATAAGGGTAAATAAGGTTTGAGGTCTTTGAGGTTAAGTGCCTTGTATGTATTACCGTGTCCACTGGCCAAATAGCATGATTTAATGCAATTTATGGATGACTGTGTCCTTTAGAATTCCACTGTAATGATTGGCAACCATTGTCAAAATTTCTGCCTATGGCCATTAGGATAATGCATAAGTAACAATGTATTAATACAAAAACCTAGCAAACCAATTGTGAATAGTTCTGTGTGCTTTAGTATTGCTCCTGTACACATCACATGACATAACAATGCATTGCATTTTAACCTTTTAAGGGGGAAGTAAAGTGTAATGTTACAAAAGATAGGATTGTTTTAAGCCACTTCATTGTCTTTATCAGTGGACATGGATGCTTTTGTTATATCTCTTTTGTATACTGCTTCATTTATATGTACAGGTATCCCTGTTATTACACGATTTTGCTCTTACATGATATAAAAATTGTGGAAACCCTCATATCTCGTGCTGACACAGTTTCTGTATAGCATGTTACTGAATATGCAGAAACTCTCTGATAATACTTTATGTATGTATGTATGTATTTCAGTAACACAATTTTTATTCTAAACATTTTCAAAGTTGAATACTATGCCATTATATATGATACACAACAATAATCTATTCATATACACAAAAATAAAATAAATTCTAGGCATGCTCACTTTCTCACATATTGAAATTCTTTTGAAATTGAGTCGTGCCCATTATTTACACAGTATATATGTGCTCCGAGTTATCATTTGGTATATTGCATTGGTAAATAAAAACGTTTTGAGTATGTGCTACTAATTAGCTTTGTTCATTTGATAGGGCAATTGTAGCAAAATTATATTTCAGTTCCACATTATCTCTGAACGTAAAAGAACTATTTTTAGCCAAAAATTTATTTCTTTGGAGATAAAAATACAAATTGTGAATCCTTTGTCTAAAGGAGAAAATACATCTGATATTGCAAAAAGTGTAAATTTAAAGAGGCAATAGTGAGAAGCATTAACAAACATTTTTTGTTTTTAAAAGTGTTTGGAATGCATACCTTTATTTTATATTCATTATTAGTTTCGTATAGCACTGTTTTACACAACACAGTATTTTCTAGGAATATATGTGCTGGGTTAAGGAGTGATGCCTGTAATTTGGGTGTATATAGGGATCAGTCATTAGTAAGCTATGCCATGGATTCTCAACTGTAAAAGGAGAATTCCCTTCTATGAACTCCTCCCTAACTATGAAATTTCTCTCTAAAAGGGAGAATTCCCTTCTATGTTTTGGTGTTATTAAACATTTTCTATACTTTTTGTCATTTAATATATATTTTATATATTTAATTATGAGATTAAAAATAATCTGAATCTTAGTAAATGTTATCGAAAGGAGGGGTAGTAATTTTATGGCAGTGTTGACAGGGATGCATGGGACGAAACAAGTTGAGAGTAACCGAGTTATGTGGATTTGGCTCAAACTTCTAAATAACCTAATAATTGTAAAAAATCTCTTTCTTCTTCCAAAATTTCTTTGGGAAAGGGTGTAGTTTACATTGGTGATATGTAAATGTGTGATGTAATAATGATAATAATAATAAAGTTTTAAAATTTGGAGAAATTAAAGATGTGATCATACAGAAGTTTTTTTTTTTTTTTTTTTTTTTTTTTTTTTTGTAGGATAATAAAGCAAATTTTGCAGAAGATCTGTTTTCTAAAGTATTGAGAAATACCATGTGCAATTTAGTGTGTTCCTCTGAAAAGAATAGTGCATAGACTATACTAGTAATATTTTATGCTTTTAATTACTTGACAACTGCTTAGCTTCATTTAAATAAACCTAATTGTGAAACAATAATTGTGATTACCATTGAAATTATTAATTTGTTAGTGCTTAAGGAAACATTAGATATTGAAATTATTGCACATTATACTAAATTGTAACTTAAGGGAACAGGCTGTATACAATGTGCACAGACTGCTAGTAAAATAATGTTAAGATTAGTTGTAGTTAACAATCAGGTTACCTTCTAAAAACATGACTTGCATTTATTCCTAACTAGTGTATAATTAGAAAAATATTACATTATTAAATTATCAGCTGTTATTTCTTTTTCTTTCTTTCTTTCTTTCTTTCTTTTTTTTTTAAATGCCAATTTTCTCTAATTTTAAGTTTCCCCCAACTTGTATATAGGTTATTGAAAAATATCCTAGTGGAATGTATGCTGCTGATTTTCCATTGCTTTATGAAGTAAGTAATATGCTTTCATAAACTTTATTTTATATATTATTCTTAAGTGTTCTTATGTGTTTGCTTCTGTTTCTGTTTGTATAACTAAGGTATCAAGTGTTTGTTCAAATATAATACTTTTCTCTATGGTGATATAATTAAGTGATGTTATATGATGAAAAATCCATTGTATGCTCAAAGTACATCCTTATCACCATGGTTGGCATATTAGATATATTATCCAAATTACAAATTCCATTATAGCTGAATTTGTTTTCATTAAATGTCCTCAGAAGGCATATAGAATAAGAGATTTTTCTCTTTCCTTACCCTGTGCCTTCATTTTGGAAATTGAATCATGTCAGGCTAGAATTGTGAGATTCAGAGTTGAGATTCTGCCAAAGGAACTGCTGATTTTTCACATTTCCTCTTCTACAGGTGGTCCCTGGACAAAAATGTAGTGGTTAATAACTCACCAAATGAATTTGACAATTTAATCACCTGGATACTCATCTTTACTTTTTATAATTCATTTTAAATTTAGCAGCACTTAGGGCTAATTTCTAACTTTTGGTACTATTGTACTTACTTCGTGCATCATCGACTACTTTTGAATGGGGGATAATGTAAGGGACTTTTCTTCTTCCTTATCATGAGTCTTCATAGTTTAATTTAATTAGAAGCACATCTGGTTACCATTGGGAGGTCTGGACTGCTTCAAATAACCCTAATGGCTTTGCAAAAGTCATTAATTATTTTAAATTATTTTTAGTGATTAGTTATTTTAAACTATTTATATTATAATTATTTTTTAAACTACAGTCAAAAGTCATTAATCGGACACCCATAATCTGGAATGATCTATAATCCGGACCTCAAAGCTACAAACTTTCTGCGCATGCGTCTTGTTGACGCATGCGCATAAGACCTTTACGGCTGCGAATATGCGTGAGCGCATGTGCAAAATACGGTTACGCATGCGCGTTTAATGTATAACAGATGGTATAAGCTAAGCTAAAATTATCTAATTCAGTTAATGTTGCAGATTGCGTTGTTCCTTAATCTTCGAACTGGATCCGGCTTATTATTTTTTGCAGACTGTTAGAGCAATTTTATAAAAGTAAGCTTGAACTTTCGATTATGTCAAATAGAATTTCCGATATGTATTTACTAATATGTAAAGCATCTACCAAAGCGAAAGTATGTTTCGAAGTCCATTAAACAAAAGTGGAATTGCTACAAAAAATGACCTAACCATCCCAAAATCTGTTTATCAATTTCAGGTGGCTCTGCGGCGGGGGATGGAGGGGAGATGGGGGAACGGCGTGCTATGACTATAATTGGAAGTTGATCTGTCAGCACTATCCGTATCTTCAGGGCAGATGTTTTCCACGCTGCTGTGGGCAATAAATTGGAAGTTGATCTGTTAGCACTATCCTTATCTTCAGGGCAGATGTTTTCAACGCTGCAGCGCAGCAGGCAATAAATTGAAAGTTGATCTGTCAGCACTATCCTTATCTTCAGGGCAGATGTTTTACTTTTATTTGGCTTATAATTCCTTACTAAATGTAGTATTTCTTCTTGATGTATTCTGTCTTTGATATGATTTAAATCAAATTCCTCGCATTATAATTTGCTTCCGATAGTGAGAAAGTGACACAGAAGTTATTTGAAACGAAAAAATTTCGATTGACAAATTAGTCGGTATTCTCGACATAGCAATTATAGGACTTGAACAGCGGAATCTGTAACTGAACAGAATTATGTCTGTTATAGAATTAAAGAGAAAGTATTATCACAAAACGAAGCAAACAACTTACATTGAAAGAAATGTTAATAAAGTAAACAAATATAAGCTCTTTTTTTTGTAATTTTGATACCCTTTAGATCATAATTGTTCTTTATATCATAAATTACGGTTTCATATTTTTAATTTTATAATTTCTGCATGCCATCTTACCAGATTTAAACTGATGATCTATAATCCGGAAAAATCGATAATCCGGAATCGCCAAAGTCCCGACAAGTCTGGATTAATGACTTTTGACTGTAATATCTATATTATATGTACTACTATTAACTTTTTAAAACTGTGTCAAGTTCTAAATTCTTCTTTTAAAGTAGTAAATATTGTATTGAATTCGAAAAAACAATGTATTTATGTAATTATTCATCATTTGGTTGTACTGGAAGATTTTTGGTTTCATGTCACATCTCTCGGTATCCTTGGAGATAGCTAAATCTTTAGCCTTAAATAAGGAAAGTGCTTTTCAACAGTAAATAAAATTTACCGAATTCATGAAACTTAAATTGTTCATATTTCATTATTCCATCCCTAGTGATTAACAGCAGGATTTTTCTTACTATATTTTATTGGATTTGAATTTTCTTAATCTACTGTAGATGTTTTTAGAATTTTTTATAAAGATTCAACCAGTGTTTCATCATTAAAGTTATATTTAATTTTCTTTTATATCAATATATGGTACATTATTAAGTGTGCCCTTACAATAATATATACATAGTATCACATTAATAATTTTATTTTATTTTAATCAAGTTTGAAAATGCTTTGATAAATTCATGTTTTCTTTCTGCACTGAGGATTTTCTCAATTCCAGAAAAGTAAAAATTGGAATTAGATCAAGAATATTAAATTTAGAATATCTAATTAAATATTAATGTCTCAATCATATTATAAACAGTTAAATAACATAACTGATGCATCATAAAGCAAATTAGATCAGTTTTTGAGTTCTTTTGAAATGGTGCCACTGTGCAGCTCGAATACCTCCTGAAATTCCCAGTTTTTCTTATTTGAATGCTAACAGCTATATGGTTAATAATGATATTAATGTGTGGCTGAAAGCATGCTGGATTTGAAAAAAATTGAAGTATTAATTGCTGATTGAAGGAGATGCAAGAATAAAAAAATTAAATTAATCTAATTGTAAAACGTTATACAGTCAAAAGTCGTTAATTCGGACACCGATAATCCGGAATGATCTATAATACGGACCTCAAAGCTACAAACTTTCTGCGCACACGCATGCGCACAGGCGTTTACGAGTGCACGTAAGACCTTTACGGCTGCGAATATGTTTTTGCGCATGCGCGTTTAATGTGTAACGGACGGTATAATCTAAGCAAAAATTATTTAATTCAGTTAATGTTGCAGATTGCGTTGTTCCTTAATCTTCGAATTGGATCCGGCTTATTATTTTTTGCGGACTGTTAGAGCAATTTCATAAAAGTAAGCTTGAACTTTCGATTATGTCAAATAGAATTTCCGATATATATTTACTAATATGTATTTGTATCTACCAAGGAAAAGTATGGTTTTGAAATCCGAAATCTGTTTATCAATTTCACGCCGCGGATTGGAAGTTGATCTGTGAGCACTATCCTTATCTTCAGGGCAGATGTTTTTATTTTATTTGGCTTATAATTGCTTACTCAATGTAGTATTTCATCTCGATGTACTCCGATATGATTTAATCAATGCCTTGTCATAATAATTCGCTCCGATAGCGAAGAAGTGACAGAGGTTTTGAAAACGAAAAAATTTCGATTGAAAATTAGTCGGTTTCTCAACAAGCAGCAAGTATAGGACTTGAACGCGAACTTTGTAACTAAACAAGAAATTATTCTTTTTAATAGAATAAGAGAAGTATTATCCATGAAACGAAGCAATTACATTGAAAGAAATGTTAATAAAGTAAACAAATAATATGAGCTTTTTTTTTTGTAAATTTTGATACCCTTTAGATCATAATTGTTCTTTATTTCATAAATCCGTTTTCATATTTTAATTTTGTAATTTCTGCTTGATGCCATCTTACCATTTTAACTGATGATCTATAATCCGGAAAAATCGATAATCCGGAATCGCCGAAGTCCCGACGAGTCCAGATTAACGACTTTTGACTGTAGTTGAGATTGCCATTGAAACAGTTAATTCATTTGCACTTAAGTAAATATTTAATTAGATATTGAAGTTACTGCAAATTATACTGAACTGTAATTTAGCAGTACAGGCTCTGCACAGTGGGCACAAATTTCTTATAAAACAAGGTTAAAATGAGTTGCAATTATAATCTAATATTACAATCTAAAAATACAAGTTAAATTTGCATCATCAGGTTACAGTATAAAATTATGAGATAATTTTACATCGTTATGCATTCTTTGCTCAAGTTTATAGTGTATGATTTTAGAAATTTATTTTAATTTATTAATTACAGTAATGATACAAATGTTTAAAGCTGTCATTAATAAATTTGTTGTAAATTATACCTGTAAAGATAGATTAGTAAAGATATAATTTATTAAGAAGTATGTATATGTTGCTTTTAAAACGTAAGTGATAGGTCTTATATTGCATGAAATGGCAACACTTCTCAGAAATGAGATCTGCAGTTTGTATGTATGATGAACTGTACATCTTGGGTAAAATAGAAGAACTCACAGCTGGCCATCTGTTCATACATATTAAATACACTAGTATGTAACATGCTATGATGTAGCGTGACATAATAAATAAACATTTTTAATTGATGAAGAAACATTATCAACTCTATGTATATTATGCTGAGGCTGGAGTTAGTTAATGAACGGCACTAAAATATACATGCTTATTGCTGTTTTTAAGAGATAAAATAACTTTTCGGAATGTTTGATTTCATCATAAAAGTTTTTATCTTTTCTTTCTTTTCTTTGAGTTTTATCTTTTTTTTTTGCCTTTCTTTGTCTAAATTTTTAGCAAGATAGAGCATCTGTTACTCTTCTTCATTGCACATACAGCATCAAGTATGTGTTGCTAGCCCAGAAATGGCTCAATATTCAGAATAATGCTTTCTACTATGTAACATTTCCACATCACCAATAAAACCTAAGCCATATCAAAGTGTGTCATGGAATTCCAGTAACCATTCAAGTGTAATTCTTTGATTCTATTTGACTGTAACAAAAATGTTTATTTAGGCCATTTGGAAGGAAATTATTGTCATAGTTTTTCTCTAAATTGCATTCCTATTGTAATAATTATTAAATATGAATAATTTTCCTAAAAATTGGAAAATTACTTAGCGTTCCTGTCAATATTCAACAGTGGAAACTTTTTAATTTTGTCTCAAGTAGCCGGTACAGGATCAAAACTATGTGTAAAAACAAGATTATAACTATTGAAATTTATCAACAGAATAATCTGTCTTACTCTGTAATGTATATGAAACAATTTAACAATAGAATAATTTGCACACTGATTCACCAGGTGTTTAAAATCACTGAAATTATGTTTAGATTCTAATTCCCTTGTTACTATTAAAGTGTTGTTTATGGACCAATATCTTTGAGATCAAAGGTTCCAAATTCTTTATTGTTAGTTAACTTACTGAATATGGCAAAACTATATCATGTGTAACATGTATACAAGCCAGTTTCCTTAGAAAGTCCTCCACGAAGGCATCTATCCCCTTAAGCAGATAGCCCTCGTGTGCTTTGCCATAATTAAATACACCATGGCAAAACTATGAGGGCGAGCTGCTTTCTAGTAATTTCTCACCAGGAGTGCCTTTATGAAGGACTTTCTGAGGGAAACTGGCTCACATTCACATTACGAATGGGGAAAACCAACTATGCACCTGGTCTGTTTGTCTGGGTTTGGAACCCAAGGCAGCTCAAACTACAAAGTGGTCTTAACACTCGACTACCGTTGGCCTTCTTTAATTCTGAACACGGAAACATATAACATGAAAGCTAATGATTGGCTGATACAAAGGCATTCAGAAAATTATCAGAGTGCTCATATTAAATGGCAGCACATCTGATCAAGAAATCGATCATAAGGATTCTAAAAATTATGTTCGTAATCTGTAAATCATATTGTTGACAATACGATAATTAGTATTTAAAAAATTTTCCAACATTAATATTTTGATTTAAATGTTGTTAAAATCACTTTACTAAACTACATCAGAAGGCCTTAATTTCTTTTAAGAACAGATTTTTTTTTTTAATAGTTTTCCTTTAAATTGCATGAATAATGTTGGCCTTTATTTTGATGATGTGGAAAAGTAGGTGAAATGCTAGGGTACATTTTAACAAATAAAGTTTTTGCCCTTTAAGCATAAATGTTATATATATGTATTATATTTTTTATATATTTGGTATCTGGTTGTGAAAATTGAACTTGTTTTTTGCTAATTTGAAAGCATTAGTTATAATTATTGGAAAAAATGTAGTTCCTGATGGAGTTAAGTAATCAAATAGATTACCTCAAACTTAGGGGCCCCTGAAGTAATTTCATATGGTCTGTGTTCATGTGCAATTTCAGTTATGTATTTGTTGCAGAGATTCCAAGATTTTGGTTATTTAATGTCTAAATTGACATTATTTTCATTAGCTTTAAAAATGCATGTGAGTAATATACCGGAAAATTCATAAGTGGAGCAAATTAGTTTACAGTGTGATATAAATCTCAGTCAGAGTTTGAATATACAGACTTTATGTACTTTTATTCATACTTGCCAAAAAATAAATACACTCAGTTACAAGTTTTGCACTAAGAATAATCACTTTGTTTGGAAGTTATATATGAAATTTATTACATGTATATATGAAAGCTACTTTTTAAAAAATTAATAAAAAAGGAACCTGATTGACTTATATGAAGTCCATGATGAAGATAATTTCTAGTAATTTCTCACCAGGGCTTCAAACTTTATTGGTATCAAAACACTGTCAAATCTCAAGCTGTAGTAAGAAATAAAGAAGTTTATAACTATTTGCATACATACAAGCATATATGTTTTTATTTTATGCATAAAAAATTTAATAAATGAAAGAAAGCAATTAGATTGTTATTATTCTCTGTCAAGTTTTGTTCCACTTGGAAAGTTTTTTCTAAAAATTCAAAGTTTTCACAATTTGTTTAATTTTAGTTTAAATTTAGTTGTTTAACAGTTAATTAATCATGTTAACATTATTTGAAATAAATGTCAATCTGAAAATTTTAATATTTACCTGCCAGTATATTTGAATAACAAAGCAGCAAAAATGTATTGCAGGTATTAAACTTGAGATTTCAAATAGAAAATATGTGTAGATTTGAATTTCCTCCCCTTCTGCAATATCACTCTTCTTTATGTATGTTTTGATAAATATTTTGTAAGTAAAGTTTAAAAGTTATTTTAAATGATTAATTTTATGTAATGAAAACAAAAAAATTTTAAAAGAAAAATGTTTGGCTTTTTAGCTGTTTATTAACACTATTTCACGCTGTTTCAATGCTTAACTGTCAGTAATGCATTTTATGCAATATCTAAGCTTTAAATAATGTTTTGTTCTACAGATGAGGTTGGCTGTTTAATATTTCACGTATTTGGATAAAGTTCACAAATCATTATGTAAATTTTCAGATATGAAATAAAAACTGCAATTTTGTTGAAAAATATTGAGCAGTCAGAGGATAAAGTTTGTAAGTTATTTCATTAACACTAAACTAGCATTTAGGTTATTTTTTAAAGTTTTTATACAAGCCTTAAATTTGCTGTTTATCTTGCTACTATTAATTTGCAATATAATCTTTGTGGAGGATCAGCTTGTTTGCGAGATTTCATTCTTTCTTTTCTTTTTTTTTCCAGGAAGTTAACCATGTTAAGTTTGATCTTTATGATCTGGGATACATTAGTCTGGCAGATTTTGTAGATCATGTTCCAGATATATTGAAAAGGAAGCGTATAGCTGGCAGTAAAACAGATTGGCTAATTTTCCCTGAAAATTTGAAAAGTAAATATAGTTAATATTGATACAGTGCAGTTTTAAAAAGAAAAACAATCAGGATGTAAACCTCCTCCTTCCTTATTTACATTATTTTTAAAGCATGTTTAAATATCAATGAGTAATTAAACTAAATGTTTGTGTAATATATGTAAAATGATAAATTTTTTTTTTAAATTTTATAATTGTGATTAGACTGCTTATGGTTCACAAATATTTAGAATTTTAATAACAGATAAATCATGAAGCACTATAAAATATGTATAACATGGCTACCAACTTTTCCAGTTTTTATCAAATCTGGTAGATTATAAAATCTCCCAATTTTTAATTTTTACTACTGGTGCATCTGTGCCAGTTTACTCAATTAACTATAGAATGATTGTGAATGGTTGATATAACCATGTCATGCATTAGATGAAGAAGAGCACAAGAACAATCTTATATTGAATCTACATACGTGCTCAAATCAAAGTGAAGTGGAGAGAACATAACATAACTGACAGGAAGTCCCCATCTTCATTCGACCACATGAATGTTAGCTAATTGATTTTAACATTTGGCATTAGTTATTACTTGTATTACTCTCATAATAGTACTTTGATAAATAAAAAGCTTTTGTTCAGTACTCAAGATTTTGTCACTATTGAAGATTCAGAAAATTACAAATGAAACAAAATTAGTCAAGAAAGTATAAAATTTAAAATATCTAATTAAATATTAATATGTTTGCATCATTATCACATTACAAATAGTTCAATAACCTGAATCATGATTCTAAACTAAGTTTAAGTCAATTTGACATTCTCTTGAAATTGCCATGCAGTACGAAAACTTTCCAAATTTCAAGGTTGGCAGTTATGGTAAAAATACACAAATAAAAGCATGAGGAAAGAACTAAATACTGACATTCCTAGTTAGAAAAAAGACCTTTTACCTTAAATTGCCTTCATGCCATTTTTACGTCTGTTGGTATTAAGAACTATTTAATAACTTTTCAATATTTATTTTAATTTCTAGATTTTAAAAAAAAGTTTATTTAGTTCTACGTTAGATTACAGTGTCAGATTCATATATTTAAAGCCACCTTGCATGCAATTTTTTTTCCTTCTAAAATACCTTTAAAAATTTAAAATAGTGTTATATTTGGGCCAATGTAGTATTTTGAAACTATTTGCTGTAAGTGATAGAAATATATTTTAAATCTTAAATTGTAAAGATGTAAAATCTTAGACTGGGGAAAAATTAATTTTATTTTATTTATTTATTTATTTTAAGTTTTGATTTAATTAGGATATGTTTAGTGTATCAAATGGCACTTAATCCTCTAAATAGCGTGGTTTTGTGAATTTTCTCATCAAGACCTGTGTTTAAATGGCTTTTATTACTTAAATTTGTATATAATTATTTATTTTAGTCTCTATTTTCATAAAGTTTCATTCATTAAGATGATATTTTAGCATTAAAAAATGTAAGAAAGAAAAATATTTTAAGTTATAAGCTAATGCAGTGATGCAACTCAGGTAGTTAATATTAAGAATTTTCACTTACAAGTCTGTATTTAGATAGTAAAAATGTTTATTATTTCACAGAATTGCTTTAAAATAAAAGTAACAATTGACTTACATTCAGCTTCTACCCAGAAAAAGAACCTCCCATTTTTTTTTAATTAGAGGGAAAAAAAATTGTGCCTGCTTGTTTTATGCAACTTATTTATCTGTTTTGAGAATTTTCAGATTTGGTTTGAAACTGTTCAAATTTACAAATCAATGAGCTGCGAAAATCTTTTTTGTAACTTAATTTGTAATAATGAATGAATTCAATTTAAATTTTCCATGTATTATTATGCTTGCAGAAAAAACTATTGTTAAAGATATTTTGTCAAAAGACAGTGATCAGAGGATTTTTTACATTGAAAGAACTATTTGGAATATTAGGAAAATGTTAGCAGATTATCCAGATGGCATTACTTTGCAAGATTTTCTTCATGTGTATAGTGTAAGTATTATAAATTTCATTTGCTTATTTTTCTATTTTACTGTAATTCTGAGTACACTTTATGTACATGTAAGCTATAATCACTAATGATCAAAAAGGTTCATTTTTATTTAGAATTTGATACTGAAAAGCAAATAGGGAAATATTTTGATTCCAAATTATTGAATACTTTTGTAACTGGAATTAGCAAATCAGTAAAAAATATTGTGTGGGAACATCAGTTAATTAAATATTAGGTGTACTCATTCATACTTTTTTTTTTTTTTTTTGTAAATTTATTGTTTATTTGCAGAAACTGAAATACAGGGTGAACCAAAATTATGTGAATTTGTCAGAAAAAATTATAGAATTAATTATGTGAACACTGTTTGAGAGATAGCATTTACCCAGAGTTTTCATTTTACAGAGTCAACCTGACCACCAGCATGAGAAATGCACTCAAAACATCGCTCAACAGTACAATTTAGTGCCCGAACACACACCTTTTATTCTGTCCTTGAGTTTTTCAAGGTTTTGTACTATACATGCACTCCTTTATCATACCCCATAACCAGAAGTCACAGGGTGTGAGATCCAGAGATTGGGGAGGTTATAACAATGGTCCATTGCTACCAGTCCAACAGTCTGGTAATGTTTCATAAAAATAAGTAAGAACAGTATAAGTAAAGTAGGGCAGTACATCATCACGTTGAAAATAACCTTCTCGTCTAAGTTGTAGGGACATGCTATCAGTGGTAAATTCTTTCATCGTTTGCAGGTATTCATATGTGCATTCACATTGTTGTTGGTCGCATGTCAAGGTCTTTGAATAGAATTCAGTTCACTATCTTCTGTGAAATCCCTATTTCCAGACTGCAATGTCTTGTCAATTTTAATGGACTCCATAGTATGGCCTCCTTCACTATAGCAATTTTTACTTCACTTTTTCCAGTTCTAGATCGCCCCACATTTCCATGGTAATTGTCTGCTATTGATCTAGTTGCTGCATACTTCAGGTAAATATGATAAATTGTTAAATGAGTTGGTAGCTGTCTGTCTGGAAACTATTTTGCAAACCTTTGATGCACTTCTGACGCCGACTGCACACCTTCCATTAAGCTTGCAACAACTCTTCTCTTTTCTATGTGAGTCTGTCAGCCATGAGTACTAACAACCTGGAATAGAAAATAAAACAAAATTAAGATTGTTCACATAATTTTGACTCACCCTGTATATTTTTATTTTGAAAAATAATCTTTATTGTTTTTGTTGATGTAGTCTGTTACCTTTATTATGAATTGCATTGTTTAAATTTATCATTCATTTCATCAGTTAGGTATCTTATTCACAAAATAAAGATATAAGTTTTTAGAAAGTGTATTTATTGCTTTTAAATTGCTCAATATATTAAGTAGTTGCAGTTGTAATATTAGAGAAAAAGTATGTTAAATTTACCTGTTTAAAAGGAAAAAAGTAAATTATTTAGGCATATTATAAGATAAAATGTATTTATTTAATTATTTGAAAGATATATTTCTTAAAAAGGCTTATGCTAGTCGACTCGTTTGGCACATATCTTTTAAATTACTAATCGTACATATATTTAATTTTTAAAATTTTTTATTCGTGGTTAATTACAGGTAAGTGTGTAGTGTTATGCTGAGCATTTACTTGTTAAGTGCTTTGTCCATGTGCCTGGTATACTTAATGGTAAACTGTTAAATTTGCACTAGAATGAGCCATGTGTACTTAATATTTCTTCTGTCCAATTATATAAAAAATCAACCACCCATTACTTTTTTCAGTAATTTCTAATAGATTTTGACTTTAATTATGTATTAAATATGGGAATATTTTAGATGCTAGAGTCAGTGAAATTCAATGAAATATTCGTCTGTCAATCAATTCAACACCTTTTTTTTTTTTTTACTTTGCAGAGATTAACAATGAAGAGCCACTCTATGTCAGAGAGCTTGGTTTTAGTGATGTAGAAAGTTTCCTTTTAAGTGTATATGAGCGAGTCCCTTTGCGAGTTGATACAAATGGGCGTAAGTATATGACAATTTTCAGAGCTAAAATTGTTAATGTGTCTTGATTTGTAGGATAGATCAATATGGGACATACTATGATATATGTCGCCTGTATATATATCATCACATGATATATACAGGTGACAGTTATTGAACTATATAAAATAAAACATAAATTATTTAAAAACTACTTAGTGCACAATATTGAATCAACATGTAAATGTCACTACAGATATTCGGATTTAGGTTATGACATATTTGATATGCCTGCCGTCTTTGGCTGTAATGTGGCGCAGGTGAATGGCAGAATACTGCATGACTCGCTAAAGTGTCGAAGCAACAATGTTGTCAATGACCTCCTGAATGGCAGTTTTAGCCCAGCAATGGTTTTGGGGTTATTTCTGTACACATTGTCTTTAGCATAGCCCCACAAATATGAGTCACACATGTTCAGATCGACAGAATACGGCGGCCAAACGAGTCCCATTCCAGTGGCCTCTGGGTACCCCAGAACTAGAATGCAGTCCTCAAAGTGCTTTTCCATGACATCAAATGCTCTTTTGCTCTGATAGTATCGAGCTCCGTCTTGCATGATCCACATCTTGTGGAAATCAGGAGCACTTTGTGTTGCGAAGCGGTATCTTAACTTTAAATTAATAAACCTAAGAATACATCACTGCGAGTGGACTGTAAAATTTAACCTTTATTCGGCGGTTTTAACTTTCGAACACAACACAGCACAAAGTAACACGACAGAGTTACAATTAGCGGTTTTAAGAATGCAAGAACAAAATGCGAACTACGCATACAATCTGTGCATTGCGAAATAATATCTCACAGACAGGCAGAGAGCTCTGGTGGCTGAAACATTCCGCCCGGCGTTGAAAACATCGTTTCAAACTAAATAGCTTTTACAAATGAAATTATCATAACAATATTAAATTATGCAAAAATGTATCATCAAAATATTCACAAGAAAACATAATATGAAATTAATGCAATGAAAACTAAATTATTCTCAAAACAGATGCACAGAAGCCTTGATACAATTCAGGAACTTATATAGCTAAAGCAAAGTACAAAGTTATAATGCTTTAGGAAAAAAACTTAATTATTGATAGGCAAAACACTAAGTTTGTGAATTGGCCTTTTGAAAACTCCGTTAGCGGTTTTGATCTTCACGATACGCACAATATTATCTGAGCTAGGAAAATCTTCCTGGTTTTCCTCTTCGAGACACAAAGCGCTTTAAAGCGGCAATAAATGATTCTGATGTAAGATTACCTACTAATTCAATGTATAGCTCTTGTAGTAAACACACGAATACACAAATGTAGCATTTCATTGGTTTTACTCCTCGACCTTGCCTGGGCTTCACTTGAATGGCCCGCGCGTCAATTCCAACTTTGGAGAAAACCTTTGACGGAACGACTCTAGACGATGGTAATCAGACATTATCTGGGTAGATGTTTTAGCTCGTACACGATGACATTTCACGCATTTCCAAATCTGTTGTCTTACAACTGACCTAGCGTCGATTATCCAATATTCTCTTCTAATTACTGATAGCAATAGCAGGGGGCCTGCATGAAGATGGAATATATGAAAAATGATTCACTATAATCTGTGTTATGTGATGTTTCTTGGGCAACAAATAGGATATTTTCCGTCCTGCGCGATGTTGGATTGTCTTAATCTTCCTCCAACGCATATAAGTCCATTCTTATCGATAAAGGGGTTCAAAGAAAGGATCTTACTACTTACTTTGAATTTAACGGTTGATTCTTTTTCAGAAAATATTCATTAAAAAACTCATCTATTTGAACTACTCTAACAATTGCATTTCTAGCGTATTGCAATTCTTCGGTTTTTAAGGTAACCCTTAATCTTGTGCGGTAGATTTAGCTGAATTAATTCGCAAACCGAAAACACCATGCGATGATTCTTTAAGTTTCAAAATGATGAAACTTCATTAAGGACTGGAATTTGCGAAGCGACTGTTATAATTGAACAAGAAATATTTTCCGTTGTTCCCTTAAAGACTCTTCTGAAAATGCTAAGTTGATAGAGAACGGAATATTATTTGAATTAAGCCACTGAGGACCTGTCCACCACAAGTCATGAGTAGAAAGCTCTGAAGGCAAAAGACCTCTTGATGCACAATCAGCTGGATTCTCCTTTCCTTTTATGTGGTTCCAATGCAATGAAGGTAAGACTGATTGGATTTCTGAAACGCGGTTGGCTACGAAGGTTTGCCAGCGTGTTGGTTTCTGATTGTAATCCAGGACAAACTATCATTGAATCACTCCATGGCGTAAATCCTGTCAACATGAATTTGCAATGAATTCTGACAGCTTGAACCAAATGCACTAATAGAACTGCAGAGCAGAGTTCTAAACGAGGAATAGAGATTACTTTCAGGGGAGCTACGCGAGTTTTTGATGTTAGTAGCTGCACCTGAAATTGAAGAATGATTTGAAGACTTTAAATAAATCACTGCGGCGTAAGCTTTCTCTGATGCGTCACAGAAACAATGAAGTTCTACATTTGTAGATTTGGGCAATAATACTCTCCTAGGAATATGAATGCATTCAAGATTTGCGATATCTTCACAATAGATTTTCCATCTTTGATTGATTTCATCTGGCAAGGGATCATCCCACGAGATTTGTAATTTCCATATGTCTTGAAGCAAGATTTTTGCTGCAACTATAAAGGTGCTAACCAACCAAGTGGATCAAAGATTTTCGAAATAGAAGATAAAATTATTCTTTTGTAGAACACTCTCTGTTTTCGAGATTTCCAAAGTGACAAGTAAACTCGTCTTGCGTTGGATACCACTCCAAACCCAATAATTTTATTGATTTAGTATCAACTACTGCACATGAAGAATTTGAGTTCCGAGCACTCAAAGCAGTTTCCAAAATCGAGCGATCATTAGTACACCATTTATGCAATTGAAAGCCACCTTTTTGTAAAAGTTCACTCAGTTGTGAAATTAACTCTACTGCGTCTTCTACTGTGTCTGAACCAAGTAGGACATCATCAATATAACAATTGTGTAATATTATTTCAGCTGCCTTTGGGAATTTAGTTCCTTCCTCAATTGTTAGTTGTTTGAGTACGCGAGTAGCCAGGTATGAAGCGGAAGTAGTGCCGTACGTAACTGTGCACAACCTGTAAGTTTTAATCGGCTTCGATGGATCATCTCTCCAAAATATTTTTGGTAATCGCGATCTTCATCATGAATTTGAACTTGTCGATACATTTCAATAAGTCGTTAGTAATGGCTATGGGATAGCATCTAAACCTCAAAAGAATAGTAAATAAGTCGTCTTGTACCTTGGACCATTCATTAGCGTGTCATTAAGCGATATCCCTGATGTAGTTTTGGAACTAGCATTGAAAACGACGCATAGTTTTGTGGTAAGACTCGATTCCTTTAGCAAGTGATGATGAGGTATATAATAATGAAAATTTACTTTATCTGGATGATCATCGGATAATTCTTCCATGTGTCCAAGTGATAAATATTCGGACATGAAGTCTTTATATTGCTGATATACTTTAGGAGTTTTTATTAGTTTTTGTCTAAGTTGCGCAAGAAATAAAAAGAAAGTTGTTGCGCAAGAAATAAAAAGAAAGTTATTGCGCAAGAAAGAAAAAGAAAGTTGAATTATGAAAGTTGCGCAAGGCTGATAGTCTGGAATTACTTTACTCATTTCGTTTAGGCTTGAATGGCAATTTTACTGAGTAACGACATTTTCACTACGACGTAGTTTTCCACGAAATAGTTTTCACACAATCTTTCCTCTTTAGTTAAAGGTTTTGATGTGGGAATTTGTTCCAAATCCCAAAATGATTTAACTAATTTCTCTGCGTTTACGTTTAGCGTATTGACTGAAACTTGCTTACGGTTTGGGAATTCAAAATGTGTAGTTCCAGCATTATCCATCCTAACTTAGAACACATGCAAATGGAAGATTTTTGCCCCTTTTAATTACCTCGCCATTTATTAAAGTAAGGAATACATTAACTCCAAGTAAAATATCAATTTCTCCCGATTCATGAAATGTAGGATCTGCTAAAGTTAAATCCTGGAAATTTTCATATAAATTCAAAGGTAATTAAAAGGGACAAAAATCTTCCATTTGCATGTTGTTCTAAGTTAGGATGGATAATTGCTGGAACTACACATTTTGAATTCCCAAACCGTAAGCAGGTTTCAGCGGGGCGGAATGTTTCCTGTAATTTTGTCTATTATGTAAGCGGATGTTGAAATTCTGTAATTAGTATTAAAATGAGGTGTAAACAACAAGTCAACTTCTCCAGTAGTAGTTGTATTGAAAGTACCTAAGCATGACACTAATATCTTCGAATCCTTTATGCTCAATCCTAAATTGATAGCTGTTTTCCGACGAATGAATGATTTTTCACTACCTGAATCTAGTAACATCTACAATTTATGAATTCCTGGTTTGAGTTTTGAACCTTAATAAAGCATACACAAAAGTACATGACTACGTTTACCATTAGCATGAGCTCCAAAATGTTGATTTTCATAGTTGTTTGCACAAACAGTTGGAGAACCCTCATTCAAGTTGTTTTCTGGTTTAATTTGCGATTTCGGAACAAACACTTGTGCTTCCGGTGAAGGGAATCTAGATGCATTTTTGGTTTGAAATTATTTTCTAAATGCAAAATGCTATGATGATGCTTAAAACAATGCTTGCAGGTGTTTGCACTCTTACACATTTTAACTTATGGACATTAGACAAGCAATTAAAACAAAGGTTTTTAGTCTTAACAAACTCTATTCGTTTTCGCACTGGTAAATTTAAAAAATTAGAACACCTGTATAAAAAATGATCTTCTTACAAAATAAGCAGGTAGAATTAGAAATCAGAGAAGTAACCCTATATATCACTGGTTTATCTGATTTATATGCGTTTTTCTACTAAAGGTTTACTGTTCTGTAATGTTTCTAGCGTAATTCTTCAAAAATTCTATCAAGTCATTCAACTTTGGTATTTCTCTTTTTTAATTGACGCTCCCACCACAACTTTGTCGAAACGTCAAGTTTTTGCAACATAATATACAACAACAAAGTATCACTAAAATTATTTTCCTTTGATCTAATATTTCCAATGAGCGAGTATTTCATTTACGTTATCTACTAAACTTAAATCGAGGATGCAGATTCCGTTTGTAATTTGTGAAACGTTAAGAATTCTTTTAATAAAAGCAAATATCTGTTCTCTCTTATTAGAAAAATCTTCTAGTAATTCCAAGCAATACTGAAATTTTGATCAGCTATGGGAATTGACTGAATAATGCGATAAGCATCATTTTTCAAAGAACTCTTTAATATTGTAATTTTTGAGCTCCAGAAAGATTTGAATTGTTGCGAACACTAGCATTAAATAAATCTTTAAATGTTATCCATTCAGTTAAAATTTCCGCTAAATGTGGGTAAAGATAATTTCGGTAACTTTAAACTTCAGAGATTGATTCAGGTACGACAGGTTTTGTCGCCATTTGCATTTACTACCTTGTAAATCTTTAACTTACGAATAATTTTTAAGTGAACCTCCTCAATTTTCTCTAAAATCGACTGTTCTTCGTCAACGAAAGTGTCTATTTTTTCATCATCACAATTTGTATAAAATTTCTCTAAATAGAGATTTAAAATCTTCCTTAAAAATTTTACATTTTTCTAAGATTAATTCATTCAGCTTCAGCATTATCTAAGTTATCATAATTTATTCTCAATGAATTTAGTTAACTGTGTTTCAAAAATTTTCTTTCGCTTTTTTTCTATATCTGACATTTTGAAAATATTCTAAATTCTCGATTTTACTAATACTTTAAACACAACAATAGTAGCAATAAGGAAATCTCAAATGCAATTAAAATGCGTTAGCTATTTCACTCACCTCGAACACTGTATTCATTCCGTAAGTCTTGAGAATTCTAAACCGAAATTGCATTATCAACTCCATTACGGACACGTAGAATTCTTATTCACAAGCGTGGGTTTTTCTCGAAGCTCCGGCTCGACGGACCAAATAATGTTGCGAAGCGGTATCTTAACTTTAAATTAATAAACCTAAGAATACATCACTGCGAGTGGACTGTAAAATTTAACCTTTATTCGGCGGTTTTAACTCTCGAACACAACACAGCACAAAGTAACACGACAGAGTTACAATTAGCGGTTTTAAGAATGCAAGAACAAAATGCGAACTACGCATACAATCTGCGCATTGCGAAATAATATCTCACAGACAGGCAGAGAGCTCTGGTGGCTGAAACACTTTGGATAATGGTGATGAACGTTGCGGCGCGCAGTGAACTGGACGTTGATCGGTCAGCACTATCCTTATCTTCAGGGCAGATGTTTTTATTTTATTCTGCTTATAATTCCTTATTAAATGTAGTATTTCATCTTGATGTATTCCGTCTTTGATATGATTTAAATCAAATTCCTCATCATTATAAATATATTTATAATTTTTTTTTTATAATTTCTGCATGCCATCTTACCAAATTTAAACCGGTGATCTATGAGCAGGAAAAATCGATAATCCGGAATCGCCGAAGTCCCGACGAGTCCGGATTAAAGACTTTTGACTGTATGATATTTATTAATCTCTTCCCTCCCCGCATATCATATATGGTATGGCTCAGTTTCCCTGTATAGGCCTGTCAATTTAAATGTGATGCAGGAGTGAAATATCACTGACAGTCAAATCATATATTTGACATGCTGAAATGGAATGTTTAATTTCAAATTTTAGATAAGCATAAATTATGTCAGAATGCTGCAGAAACTTACTGAATAGAAGCAGTAGAGTATTAGCATTGTTGTTATGAATATTATTTATTATTTTATTTTACAAAAATAAAATGTGGGATGCTAAGTTGAAATGAAAAATTGCATAGCTGTCATTTGAAATCAAAATTAGAGGTGATTAGAAAGAAAGATATGTCATCTATATGATGCTAAAACAGGCTTAAAAGTAACCTCTTTTGCTGGACAGTTAGCAACGTAATGAAAGCAGAGAAAAGTTGCAAAGTGTTTGTTTCTTGAATGATGAGAAATACATGAATGATGAAAAAGTCAAATAATCTGATTGCTGTGTGCACAACAAGAAGCATCCCTAAAACACCTCATACTCTCACATGTTTCACAGAAAGTAGTTAAAATTTAGATTTTTCTGTGAAAATTACCTTGTGTCATATTTGAGACATCTATTTCAGATATTCTTTTACCCATTTTGTTGTTGCAATGCCATTTTCTGCATTAACTGTTCCACTGGTGGATGCTTATGAAATTTAACATAATAAAGGGGATTTTTAGTAAGTACAGAAATTTAAAGATCATTTTTGCATTCCTTTTTATGCTAAATATAAAATTTTATTTAGGGATCACTGCAGTTAACATTTATTTTCCATGAGTTTGTGTGTTGCAGGTAGAATAGTTACATTTAATAAACCTCTTTACGCCGAATTCGATACAACACAAAATCTATATTTGGTTCTATTTTAAAGATGCTTACCAGCAGAGAGGCAGAACCCTAACCTATTTTGCTTTAGATTCTGTTCAATATTGTTAAATAAGGTGACTGCATTGAATTTTTGGGATTTTCCCCACCTCATGTAACAAAGGTCCAGGCCAGTTTCTTTCAGAAATCATTCATAAAAACATCCCTCCCTCTCCTTTGGCAATATACGAGGGCTATCCAGAAAGTAGATTACGTTTTGGAATAAAAAAATAAACAAAGTATAGGAAACAAATTTTATTATATACAGATGAAAGCCACACTCAAATACGACTTTTCTACATAGTCACCATACAAATTAAGGCATTTATCGTAGCGATGTACGAGCTTGGAAATCCTTCGTCGAAAAATTCGGCCGCCTGCCTGCGCTTCAACCACTCGTTACCTCTTCTTGCCTTCCATCTTGCACAAAACTTGTGGGAACCAAGCTTTTCGCTGATGATTTCGTGCAACAAACTTCGCGAAATTGTGGAAAACTCAAAGAAAGTTCCGTTATTGTGAAATTTCGATTTTCACGGACTTTTAGCATCGACTTTTTCGAGAAGTTCGGCGGTCACTATGCTGGGTCTCCCCACTTCGATCTTCGTCGTGAACATTGGTTCGGCCATTTTGAAATCTTATGACCCACTGACGCACTCCACCTTCAGTGATAATGTTGTCCCCATACACTTCACGAAGCTGCCGATAGATTTCTATCGGTTTACAGTTTTTTGCAGTCAGAAACCTTATTACTGAGCGCACCTCGCAGCTCGCGGGATTTTCAATTAACGCAGACATTTCAAACCGTCACAGTATCTGAACGGAGCACAGCACGAACCTCTCACTAGCACGGCTAGATGCAGACTGAGCTGCGCAACGCTCTGACACCAAGATGGCCGCGCTAGCCCCGCCCCTAGCGGACACAGGCGGAAACGTAATCTACTTTCTGGATAGCCCTCGTATTTTGAAATACGTAAAGAATTCGGCCGTAAGTGAAGCCTTTAGTTCACTCTCTGTTAAGTCATTTTAGCATCTGAATAATGGTATTTTTCATGTAGGTGGATAAATATTTATCTTTTGCATTGATAAAATCAACTTTAAAAAATAGAAACAAAGCAAAATATGTGTTTAATTCTGTATTAAGAAAAGAAGTTGTTTTAAAATAAAAGTAAATTTAGTAAAAGTCTGAAATGTGGTTTTATGTGATCTCTAATAAAATAGTATCAAATGATAAAAATAATACTTTTTAAAAATAATATTTTAGTACTTTTTAATTGGAATATGATTCGAAATTTTCTTTACATCTTGCACAGTTTGTGCGAGAGTTTCAGTAGTTTACCAACTCTATGAATTCCACAGATATATTTTGAATATGGCCATAGATTTGCAAATAAACAAGTTAAATGTACATTTTTATTTTTTGGATCCTTTTTTTGTTTGGGTGTTTTTCTAAAGTAAATGTCAAGTATACCATGTTATTTTTATTTTTCTTAAATTTAATTTTAGACTTAATTTCATTTTAGACTGCAAAACTCTTCATTTGATACCAGATGGTGATATTTCGAGAAGGCAGCATTTACTTGGAATTGTTGGAGATGAGGTAAATAAGAATAATTTCTTGCTACACTATGTATATATAAAAATATATATAATATTAATACATAAATAAGAAAAATGCAATATATCCTTTTATTTTGTGAACAATAGGGAAATTCATAAATTTACCTGTTCTTAAAATAGGTAAATTTATGTATTTTACTTATTTTACAAATGTTTTATGATCTGTTTTTTACTGTAATTATCACACAGACTGCTTATGCTTTTGAGAAGGGGGCTTCATATATTTACAATTCAAAAATATGTCTGTAGATAGAGAAAATGAAAGAATTTAAATGATAAAGCAATAAAAAAAAGTACCATTTGTATGAGTTTTCTAATTTTAAATCTGAAACCTTTGCGGCACAGTGTATCCGGTCCGGACACACCTAAAAATTTCCTTCTGTACGCACAGAAAAATTGAATGAAAAAGGATTTATAGGTTACTCTGAAACTTCTTTATTTATAGTAGATGGCAGCTCAACATAAACCAGTCCATATATTTTAGCCATGTTTAGTTTTTTTAAGACCCTCATTTTTTAAAAAAAAAACTTCCAGATTTTTTTAGGGTATAAAAGGAATAGTTTGAAAAGAAATTTCTATGTTATTTTTTTGGCTGTATGCTAATCTCCTTATTCTATATTAGTTTTAAATTTTTACCTTGAAATCTTGCTTAAAATCAAATGGCGAATCCTAGGTGTGCCCGGACCAGGCTCACAGATAATCTAGGACAATTGAGAGTCTGTATATTCTTTTTTCTCCACATCTCATCGGTCAGTTCATTGAGAACAATGCTCGTTTCAGCACTCTTTTCAAAGTTCTATTCAATCAGTATGCCACTTTGGACACACCCACAGAATTAAAACGATAAGTTCTATCTTCACAAAATTTTACTTGTGTACTCCTCTAAACCTAATTAGACTGCCTACCTTTTTTTTTTTTTTTTTTTTTTTTTTTGAAATACCAAAACTCGGACTTTAAAAGGTAGTGTGCCGAAAAGGGTTAATAAACCAGTGGTATTTGTTAAACTTGGATTTTTCATTAAGTATAACTACAATAATCACTTTTCTTTAAAAACATATGTTTGTTAAAAATGATCTCTAAACTTCAATTCTGTTTACTATGTATTCTCAAAAGGTTTTATTTCCAGCTTTTTTCTGAAAATACAATAGAAACATATATGGTTCAAAATTTAAATAATTTTAATTGTCTTTATATTTTGAAATTAACTTTTTTAACCACATGATATTGCTTCTACAGATCCAGTTTTCTATACAAGAACTTCACCTAATTTTTATAGTCTAAATAACTCTATATGAAACTTAAAAATTTTAAACTTGATAATTTTATTTTCTCATATTTTTAAATTGACTTTTTTCAGTTATTCTTCATGATGCTGCTTCTCCATGTTCGGAATTTCCTATACAGAATCTTCCTCCTAATTTTGATTACACAAAGTATAGTCCAGTGTATGTAGCAGAAGTATTTCACCCTGATCATTTCTACGTCCATCTAGTCGGACCGGAAATATCAGATGCCTTGGACATACTTTGTGACAAATTAAAGTAAATAGTTTTTTTGATTCATGTAAATTGTAATAGAGTACAAAGTCCAAAATCCGGATGTCCGTTATTCCAGAATGATTCAAAATCCAGACCTCAAAGGCACAAACTTTTTTTTTGTATGCTTTATGCGTGTGCATTTGATTTTTCCTTCCATAATAAAACAAGTGGAGATTTTCACTTAAAAATTCCAATTCTTAATTTTATTTAGGCACTAAATAAAATACCTCATTGTGGAAAAGCCATGTAAGCATAAATTTGTTAGATTAATAATTTGCCTCCGTAGCTGAGTATCTGCTTGGCATACATCTCAAACTGAAATATTCACCTCTTTTATATCTGATGCTGACCTGACGAGTCATTATTTATTATATTTTGCTTTCATCACTGCATATTTATCAATACATAACATCTTCAGTAATAACTCATGCAGTGATGTCTAAGCTTTTTTTTATATATTAGTAATTGAATAACAAGAGTATAGCAACCTTTTATGGTAACATTAGCTGGGCGATGATTATAGATTTTTAAATGCTCTAAGAACTGTTGACGAAGAAAAATTCAACAAAAATTTCTTTTCGTATGCTAAAAATAAATTTTGTTAATGAAACTCATAGGCCAAAAAGAGTACATATAGTGCTATTTTAATAAAGAATAACTGATATGTTATTCACCATAAACCCAGAAGTGGTGGTAGAATTTAGAAAAGACAAAATTTTTGGAATTTGGGGAAGCACCAAGCGGAAAAGTTAAGGGATGAGAAGTTTTTTTTATAGTTTAAGGAAAGCACTGTGATCCAAAGTTTAGGCATGGCAAAAATTTAGAACTTAGGAAGGCGCTTTGTAGCAGAATTTAGGACTGGCAGAGCCTGCACCAGGCAGTATCTAGTGCTGGCCCTAGATAAAGCCTTATAGTATATGTGGCATATACTATGAGGCTTTATCTAGGGCCCGGTGCTAGATACCTTATAATATATGTGTAATATAATATGTAGCCTTATAGTATATGTGAGAGTTTATTTATTTGTTAAAAAAAAAACATGCACGCCCTCTAGCATTTAAAGGAGTAACGATTTTATCCGTTATAGTGCAAATAAGAGAGCATGAATGACACAAGCTTTTATGGTAAATTTATAGGTTACTCTGAAACTTCTTTATTTATAGTAGATGGCAGCTCAACATAAAACCAGTCCATATATTTTAGCCATGTTTAGTTTTTTTAAGACCCTCATTTTTCAAAAAAAAAACTTCCAGATTTTTTTTAGGGTATAAAAGGAATAGTTTGAAAAGAAATTTCTATGTTATTTTTTTGGCTGTATGCTAATCTCCTTATTCTATATTAGTTTTAAATTTTTACCTTGAAATCTTGCTTAAAATCAAATGGCGAATCCTAGGTGTGCCCGGACCGGGCTCACAGATAATCTAGGACAATTGAGAGTCTGTATATTCTTTTTTCTCCACATCTCATCGGTCAGTTCATTGAGAACAATGCTCGTTTCAGCACTCTTTTCAAAGTTCTATTCAATCAGTGTGCCACTTTGGACACACCCACAGAATTAAAACGATAAGTGCTATCTTCACAAAATTTTTACTTGTGTACTCCTCTAAACCTAATTAGACTGCCTACCTTTTTTTTTTTTTTGAAATACCAAAACTCGGACTTTAAAGGGTAGTGTGCCGAAAAGGGTTAATAAACCAGTGGTATTTGTTAAACTTGGATTTTTCATTAAGTATAACTACAATAATCACTTTTCTTTAAAACATATGTTTTGTTAAAAATGATCTAAACTTCAATTCTGTTTACTATGTATTCTCAAAAGGTTTTATTTCCAGCTTTTTTTCTGAAAATACAATAGAAACATATATGGTTCAAAATTTAAATAATTTTAATTTGTCTTTATATTTTGAAATTAACTTTTTTAACCACATGATATTGCTTCTACAGATCCAGTTTTCTATACAAGAACTTCACCTAATTTTTATAGTCTAAATAACTCTATATGAAACTTAAAAATTTTAAACTTGATAATTTTATTTTCTCATATTTTTAAATTGACTTTTTTCACAAGCATTAATGAATTTTCACAAGCATTAATGAATGATTCACAAGCATTTCACAAGCATTAATGAATGATTGGTTTTAAAATCACTTCATACCCGAGGCTCGGCAACATTTGAATTCGGTTGGTTTACCCGATGACTCAAAAATAGTCCTGATTGTGGACAACTGTTCGGCTCATACTTCACTTAAAGTTTTATTGAAAAATAATGTATCCGTATTATTCTTCTCTGAAAGTCCCTGAAAGTCCATCATTCAGTCTATGGATATCGGAATAGTGCACGCGCTGGAATGCAAATATAAAGTAGCATTTTTAAAATCCATGTTAAATTTCTTGAACAGTGGCAAGAATTTTTGAAATATTTTAGCATAAAATTTGCTGTGTAGAGCAGGGATGTCAAACTCATAGGTACACTTGGGCCAAACAAACAAGGTTTAACTTTAGGCGGGCCGCAAAAAAAAAAATCAATATTCATAGAAACGTAGATTTATTTCGAATAATACAATAATAAACATATATATATTATTCATATAGAAAGAACAAGAAAAATTTAATGTTTACGTCCTGATACTTGACATCTATTCTCTGCTATTATCTTTCCTAGTTCGGGAGAATTTTGTTTGCAGTGATAACTTTCAACGCTGACCCAGGTGAGCATCATTAATAAAAACGGTTTTCTAATAGGAGACTTATTACCTTTCATGACGAAAATAACTGCTCGCACCGATAAGTGCTACCAAACATGGAAATAATTTCATATGCGAATTTTCGAGTATTTTCAAACCTGGCTGGTAAATATTTGTAAAATTCAGGCACGCCCCTTCAATGAATTTTGCTTTCAAATTTGAGTTGCATTGAATCTCGATCACCTCCATTTGCATATGGCTGGGTACTGAGTCAATACTTATTGAGAAAATCGAAGAAGTAAAAAATTGTCTTCGAGGGAACTAAAATCATTAAACCTCGTTCAACTTCAGTTGTAAATTTGCAATTTTTTCTGCGTATTTTTGATACGCACAAGTTCTACTAAAACTTGATTTGTTCATGCTGCACGTCGGGAAGTGCGTCAAATCTTCATTTTTAAGTTCTTTTTCCCGAAGAACTAGTTGACATTTGAATGCTTTAATTTATGTCAAACATGTTCGTAATGATATGATCTTCTCCTTGTAACGATAAATTTAAATCGTTAAGTGTTTTGTTATATCAACCAAGAAAGATAAATCTTGTATCCGAATTGGATCGTAAAACAAACTTACGTCTTGATTTTTCGTTTTTAAAAACTGGTATATTTCTTCTTTCAAATCCTGGAATTGTGTGAGAATCTTGGAGCAAGATAACCAACATACATCGGTATAGTAGGACAAACCCGAATATTCACTATCT